TGGCAGGATCTCTTATGAAAACTATGGTGATCATGACTTTCCTCAAAGTTTTGTCTTTCCTCTAGGTTTAATTTAGCGTTTAATGTTGAAGAAAAGCATGAGATGCGTCTGTATGGTCAAATAGGTCTAATATGCATATTGTAGGAGATGGATTCATAGAACAAAATAAAATGAGATTTGTCACACCTCTAGCAGTACCCAGTGTTTCCCAGCCCAAAAGCTGTTATTTATGATGCTTCAGTATCAGCTTCAGCTTAAGGATTTGTTTAGTATGTTGGGTGCAGGGCCGGCTGGAACCTAAGGCCACTAAGGCAATGGCCTTAGGCCCCCAAAATATATAAATAATATATACAACATTTAATAATTATGCACTATTGATAGAATTTTTAAATTATTTGGTTAAAATAGTTATAGCTAAAAGTTTTACACATCTTAAATTGTAGTTACTAGTTGTTTCATGTCTTTAATTTGTTCCAAGTTAAATCAATCTTATTAATTAGAACAATTTTTCTTAATTCTTTGAGTGCCTTTGTAGACATTTTTCAAGCTGCTTTGATAAGTAACAATTAAAATACGTCACTAACATTGAATAACTCTTGAAACATAGTAGTTACTACAATATTATTTGTTTCAACTTATATTTAGAATTAAAAGTGCTAAGAGAAATTGTATAAGTAGAAGAATACTCTAATTCGCAAACTCAATCAGGTTAAAGTGTTAATTCAATTACTGTTAACAATTTCTATATCACTTGCCTCGGTTGAAAAAGTTTTTCAACACTAAATCAATAAAGTTCAACATGATAACACAAAAGAGATTAAACAAATTGGTTAGACATTGGCAATAATTAAAACCGATTATAACTTCTTTAGATTTCGATAAATTATAAGAGAAAAAAATTAAAAAAATGTAAGGCCTCAATTTTTATTTTCGCCTTAGGCCCCATATTATGTTGAGCCGCCCCTGGTTGGGTGTTATGATATGAATCGAACTTTGGGATCCTTCTCTGACTACTGTTTTTGGTTGGCAGCTTCTTATGCTGGAGATGGTGCTTAAGCAGTCTCCTGAAGATTCCAAGGAGCATCAAACAGCTCGAATTCTTCTTTACAAGTTATTCTACGATCAAACTGATGAAGGGATGACCCAGTTTCTCTTGAACCAGATCAAATCGTTTGATACCCATAAGCAAGCGAAAAGGTCCCCTTCTAGCTCACACGTTTTTTTAAATGAACTGTATTAATGAACTATATTATTCCTGAAAATTGGAGAAGTGGTTAGGGGATGCAGTAATGTGATGCCTCAGCCAAGTTCATTAGTGACATCCAGTATTACATTATGGATGAGGAGCAAATCAACTTATAGTTTATTAGGTGGAAAACCTTAGCTTGATGTTGAAGCCAATTTCTGCAAATAGACAGAGGGATTAGCTCATTGAAGATCTTAATAGGTGTTACGCAGTGAAGGATACTCTCATTTTGAATTAATATATTCAACTGCCATAGTAAAGCCATCTTTGTGGATAAAATATGCTGCATTTGTTTGCTGGACTCCGCTCAAAAACTTGCTTTCATTTCTAACCTTCTGGTGAAGCAATATCGGGTCTGTTCGTAACAGTTTAAACTTTAAAATATAATTCATTGTTGATAACTACTATAAATTTCTTGATCCATGTCAGAAAAGCTTTATTCTAGAATTTTCTTATCTGCAGAAAACTTTATTTAGAAACTATAAACCATGTTTCGACGAAGGGTCTATGAGATAAGTTTGTTGGCTTCTAAATTCCACTGTACCAAGCATAAAATCATGTCAGCATGAATCAAAATGCACTTTTTGCTGTTTTTTGACTACCTGCAATTTATCAGGTTAATGCAATGTTGTTTGTGTGATTGGCCAAAAAGGATCTTTAACCTTGAAGCCTATATAATCTTCTCTTGCTAATATTTCAAATCTATTATTGCCAGTTACCTTGCTGATTTGGTAGAAATTATCAATTTAGTTATAAAGCTGATGGAGAACCTTCAAGCACGTGGTTCATTAAGGGTATTCCCTGATAACTTTTGTATTTGAATTTTTCATTAAGAAATAAATTTTGTTTTTATTTCTAAGGAATTTTTATATTTGTTATCTTGATTGATTCAGTCACTTGTAATGAAACTTCAGCCTCTCTACCTGCATAAGGTAGGGGTAAGGTCTTCGTACACGCTATCCTTCCCAGACCCCATATGTGGGAATATACTGGCATGTTGTTATTGTAATCAAACTTCAAATGCTCATATTCTCCAGCAGATAGTTACTAAGTAGATGTTTCTATGAAGTGAAAAACTTATTCGGAGAAAAAAACACCTTGTTTGGATTTGAGAGAGATCGTATGAATGCTCACTCAGTCAGATCTACATTCTGCAGTAAAGATATAATGGAGAAGTGAACCACAACAAGATAGCAGCAACCTTGACCCATGCTCTCTATATCTAAAGTAAAGCTGTTCCTTTATTTTATATGATAGATTTGGACTTGTGTGTCTAGAGAGTAAGAGAGAAGGTTTGTGGGGTAAATTTGGAGTTCTGGAGAGGTGTGGCATTAGGTTCTAGACTATTACCGATTCATATTGTCAGCTCTTTTTGAATGGAAGCAACCTTATGTAAAGGGGATGAACTAAAATAGTTTCGATTGTTTTTGGATGGTGCATCTCTGGCTAACTCTTTTACTCTAGACCTGAATGTCTCAAGTTGGATTTGGAATATTTTGATCCATGCACTTAAGGACACGTTTGTGCGTATATATATATAATAAGTGTGTATTTATCAATTTATTTATACTGTGGAAGTGGGAGATATAGGGCAGATGAGTGATGGTTTTTCTACTGTTAGTCTCAGAAATTTCTATTGTTAACCAGTGTTAATATGCTCGCAATGATACTTTAGCTTTACTGAGTGAAAAATTCTGGTCCTTTAGCTTAAGGAAATTCATCACTTAGCAATCCACTCTTTGTGGGGATGAATTACTTGGGAGCACAATTGAAGGCATATTATGAATCTCAGTTCTTTTGCGCTCAAAGGAGCATTACAAAGAATTATGCTTAGCTACCTTGTGTAGAAATACTGAAGCTGAATTTAGTCGTAAAGTTATGTATCTGCAGTAGTGGTGTCACCAAAAGCGAATGAAATAGAGAACATTCGACATGTGTCCTTATTTTGAATTACTCTCTCATGTCTCATGTAAGGAATGCTTGTTTCCCCAACCTCATTTCCCCATCATCCTACCAACACAATAGGGAATGATATATATGAAGAATCATGTTTGTTATCTTGCTATGTCAGAATAAGTGCATAAGTTTGGCTCAGTATGCCCATAGCAGGATCTATATCTCATTAGTGCTTTAAGTTCCATAGATGCTAAATATAGTTTATCCGATGACAATTTTTTGCTTCAGCAACTGACATCTATTGATTAAAAAGGATTTATTTTTGTGTAGATTTCCAAAAAGTTAAGGAAGAAACGACCGAAGACAACAGTTACAGATGACAAGAAGGATAATGATGAAATGACTAGAGATTCAGCCTCCTTTGGGATAGGTTTTGGCGGCTCTAGTCATGAATCTATAGATACCGGATTGGCTCACAATGGAGAAGATGCCATAGACTCCAATAAGGTTGATGAACACACGGGTTGTACCACTGTGAACGAAGATCAAATGGTTGAGAGTACTGATACAGCTCAAAATAATGCTGCAGGCTCTGGATGTGAAAAGTCAAACGATCTTCATGCAGGTGGAAAGGGAGAAGAAGATATCACAGTCCTAGATAAGCTTAATCATCCTATATCTCTTGAAACTAAGTCAGGAAGACACCAGAACTCTGTGCCGGAGACACAACAAAAACTTTCTAATGATGTTAACGACGAGTATGATCGAGGCAGGGATGATTCTTCTGGTGATGAAAATGTGTTAACTGCGGAAGATGATCTCAAGATATCTGCCTTGGTCTCTGCTCTTGCAAACAACTCCACCATTCACAACCTCTGTTGGTTGCTAAAGTATTACAAGAGCAACTCCATTATTACAAATAATTATGTGATATGCATATTACAAAAACTATGCGATGATCTCGAACTTTCGCCCATGCTATACCAGGTAATTTATTGAAAACTGTATGTTTCTATCTGAAACAAGATTAATGTGAAGCTTAAGTAGCAGATCTCATTTTTAATATTTTCTGCTTGATATACAGCTATCTCTCCTCACCACATTCTATGACATTCTAGAGGAGCAGAAGTCAAGGCCTTGCAGAGAATATGAGAACATTGTCTTCTTTTTGACAAACTTAGTTAGGAGAATGTTGCGCAAAATGAAGAGTAATCCCCTACTATTCATAGAGGTTCTCTTCTGGAAATCACGTAGAGAGTGTCATTATCTCAATTGTGATTCCATGCTAAAGGAGCTATCTCAATTTAAGAAAGATGGTAAAAATAGTTCAGGTGTTTCCATGACTGGTGAAATTGGCTCATCTGAAGCAAATGGATGGATCCGCCGAAGTATAGCTGATGCCCTTGGTGATGATGAAGCTGATTTTCCATTACCTTTTTCAGATGCTGTCAGGTAAGATGTTTGCACTAATACTGGAAGGGTGCTATTGTGGTTGCTGATTGCCATAATGCTTGAATCAAAGAAACCAAGAATGTCATATGTTGAATTCTGTATTACTTAGACTGAATTTATTTGGTGAAAGTCCTCATAAACTTAATCCAATTTTTTGGTTATCAATTTTTTGACTTCTAATTTTGGAGATATTCTCTTTCTCTGACATTGATCATTCCTACTAAAAAAAAGTTAAAATAGCATTTGACAGTGTTGTGGGTCTTTTATTGTAAAGATAAAGAGCCAAGTCAACTTTTTTCCTCCAACAGAATCTTTTAATTCAATGCCGTTCGCAGAAACAACACAGAGGTCACAAATAGGAGTAACCAAAGTTTGCTAGAGAGAGAGGAAAGTCCTACATCAATTTCAAATGATGGAAATGATGTGATGAATCAGAAACGACATTTGGAAAAGTATGATCCTCATTCATGCTTTTTTTCTCTTCTTGATTTCCCAGTATAGCCATCTTTATTGTTTTTCTTATTGCAGACAGGAGCAGTCAGCTGAACAAGAGTCTCAGAGGGAACCTAAAAGACGAAAACTACAAGCTCTTAATGATGAGTTACGACGGAAAGTCGAGCAACTCTTTGAGAGGTACGTATATATAATTTTATTATTTGCGTGTTTGAAACCCTCTTTATCCTACAATGATAAAATAGAAGTGTGCACATACCTCGAGTGTACCAGATTAGCTCCCAAGTCTGCGTTGCCCTGTAACTGGTTGAATCTCTTTTGGAAGTGTTTGTGATAAGTTAAATTAGGCTGTAGAACTGGGAATTATGGAGTAATAATATTGTCTGAAGGGTGGCATGCCGCATACCTACACATGTCATTGGTTGTAAAAATAAGAACAAGAAGAGATCTAAGTTCGTAAATGTTGTATTCTACTATCTACTCATATTGTTTCACAAATGATGAGCCTTTTCTTACTCTCTTCCTGACTATTCTATAAATGTCTTCTGTTAATGATGTCCTCTATGCTCTAAATATACCTCTGATGTTGCAAAAATTTGATCTTTTAGAATAAGTATTGCTATCTCCAGCTTACCTTTGTCTTTCCTCGGGCAACACCATCCCAAAGCAATTGGTTGTGAAATCGGCATTAAAGTTTATCTTTGGAGGACCACTTCCCCCTCTGTTAACTTTACAAGGTCTACCAATCTTGTCAGTGAGAAACAGACCTGGCACACTTCTATTATTAGCAGCGACTGCATGTTTCATGATAAAGGATACAACAGCAACCAAAACATTTGACTCAAACAATGAAAACTGCAAACTGCCATTTCCATCCTTCTTTCAATCGATATTCTATATTGGTTCCACTCTTTGTTCTGAAGCATCTGAATTTTTTTTGTTTGATTTCCAGGTATAAAGATAATCAAAATTGTTGTGATATCATTGCGGAAGCCCTTGATCCAGATGGAAAGATTTCACCTCTCCAAATTTCCAGGACACTTAAACAGTTAGGATACAGAATCCCACGGAAGAAAAAGACAGTATATGCTAGTGCTCCTGACAAACCTGGGAATGAAGAAAAAGATCTAGAAAGTGAGATCAGACTTCAAAATTCAGATATACTAGAAGAGGGTACTTCACAGAGAAGGCATCTGTAGGTGTCTGTTTAAAGCAATTGTGTTTATATGTTTTATGAACATGATTTAAATATTCTTGCTGTTCATTCTCAGGCACACTAGAAAGAGAGTGCAGGCATTTAGTCAGGAGCAGGAACAGAAGATCAAAGATTTGTTCGAACAGTGAGTTCAATAAATAAGAAAGTGATTTTTTTGTGAGACATTTGCTTTCATAAATCTGTTCCTTATATCTAGGCTAATAATATAATGTGGTTTTACTATGAAAGGTTTAAAGATCACAAGAGGTGCAGCCACATGATTGCCAATGCACTTGATTCTGAGGGAACTTTATCTGCAGCTAAGATTTCACGAAAACTTAAGCAACTTGGCCTGTATGTCCCCAAAAAAAAAAGGTTAGAAACCAACCTGCAATTGATGGATGAAGCAGGTGATGCTTCTAAAGAAGGTTCAGACAACTCTGATGATGAAACTTTGTTATCAATGAGAAGAAGGTATGATTAAGTTTGCAGATGCTATTACTTGTACTCTCTGTTCTCCCTGATTCAGCAATTTTTTTGAAAAATAGTGGCAGAAGATATTCTAATGATACTCTTTCCTTCTCTCATCCTGAGTTGGGTTGTGATGTTACTGAATAGCATGTAAGATAGAAGATAAAAAACACTTTAATCTTAGCAATGAATGACATTATCATCCATCTTACTAAGAGAAATGTTTTGGATGAATGGTAAACACATTGAAATTACTGTGCTCCCACCAAATACTTGATAAAGGCTTTCATTGTTTTATGGAGTTTCAGGAGCAAATATCAGGGAAAAGATAGCACTTCTGAAGGAAGAGAGAACCAGAAATCATCAGCAGATGAGTCTGACGATGAATTGCTGACCTCGCTATTGACGTATGTTTTCATATGCCTTCTTCTCCTCCTCCTCCTCCCTTTATACAAATATCATTTTTACATGACTTTGAACATGTTATTTGTTTGAGAATCAACAAACACAGTCTTTGTGGACATCCTTCTCCCTTTCTTACTGCTTTAGATGGTGGATTTATTCTGATTTATGTTTATAAATGATAACACAATCCTTAATTATTAAGTGAAGGTAGCAGTGGGTCAAACCTCTAAGGCACTTTAGAGGTTCTGTTTAACTTTTGATCCAAATACCCCAATTTGCATGGTACAACCAAAGTTGCACGAATGTATGTAGGCTGGTCCATTTATTTACAATCTGTAAAGGTGAAAAAGTCAAGTAGGGAGGTGTACTGCATTGTTTGTTGGAGCACCGTTTCCGAATGGCCAGGTTAATATACAAGGAAAGTGTTTACAGTGTAATTACTGCAACAATTCCTTCATGCGGTTGTCTCAGGTCCATAGTTTCTTCGAATCAAGATCTTCACCAATCACCAAGTCTTTTTATTCTATCAAAGCATCAAAATTACCTATTTGACTTGGCCTATTCATTGACTTGAAGCTTGAATGTGGTCTAAGCTAAAGGTCATGCTCCACATCTTTAGTGGGAAGGAGGTATTTTCATTGGACAAGTTTGGGTTTCTTTACATGAACCGACTTTGTCATGGCGATTATGAAATCTTGTGTAGACTGTAGATTTTTGCTGAGTTGGTTTATGAAGCATCCTAAATTGCATTTTAGTCTTTCTTTCAGTAGTAAAATTACTATAAATATTGCAATGAATTATAATGTTATTTGATGCAGAAAAACTCAAAAAGCTCTTCCACAGCATGAGGGGAAGCTAATTGTAAATTCAAGGAAGATCAGCAGCGAAAGTGACATTGAAGACAAAGATACTTATGACTCAGAGAGGTAAACTGTAGCTATGTTGTTATTGATATCACCTTTTCCGGCACCACGATTGATAGTGCAGTTGTCTGCCATTAGTATGAGCCTCTTATATAGTCACTCACCCCCATCTTATTTGCTCTTTTGAAACCCCTTCTTTTTGCTTAGGAACTTTACAAAACTATTATGCCAGTTCTGTGTCTCCATTGAGAATGAGCCTCTCATAAAGTCACTCACCTCATCCCTATTTCTTTTAGGCATCTTTCTCTATTTTCTGGAGAATTAAAACTAATATGCCATCTTTGTTAGGCTTCTGAGCTCTTTTTGCCATCCTCGTCCACTTTCCTAAATCCCATCGCTTACTTCCTGTTATTTTTCTTAAACCAAGTTTTGCTATCTAACTACATTCACAACAGTGTAGAAGTAGCCTGTCTTGTTTTATTTTTGGTCTAAACAAGAATTTTTGAATGAGGTAGGAGACCTGATAGATTTTATAGGTAGCTTGTAGTTAGCTGTTACATCAGGTGCTCTTCTTTTGCTCTTTTTGAGTTGTACATACTGTTATCAGCACTAACCTGGAGCTGATTTATTATCAAAATAGAAATTGTTACCTTTCGCTAGAGGTGGCAAACAGGCGGGTCGGATATGAGCGGGTCAAAACAGTTAATTTTAAAAAGCGGATAAATTATTCGACCCGACCCGTATTTGAGACGGATAAAAAACGGGTTTATCCGGCGGATAATATGGATATCCATATTATCCGTGGCTTCTTAAATATGATCACTTGTGAGAGAAGTCCTTGTCTTCCAAACTTGAGGAACTCCAATCGCCCACATGACGGATGGCTTGCTTACCAAGCCATCCTGGCTTTTCGCTCCTTTCCTTAGAGTCAAGTGGCTTTCACTCCTCCAGTTTTATTATTATTGACTTGACTTATTATTATAAAAACTACTCACTACCCAAATGAAATACGATCGATTATCTACCCAAGAAGATAGAGAGTCCCACATACGAGAAAATGTCACAAATAGAGTTGAACCAAGTAACATTGCAAAGGCATAATGATAGTAGGGTCGGGATATCCCCGCCCTCCGAACCGGACGTGGGGGTCTCCCCTCATCTGGCTCTTTGCAGGGGAATCTCCACTCACTGCTTCCCCTAATATCCTCCCTTTACCATATCATGAGGCTTTACAAATGTAAAAGTTAAACACATTAATTATCTATTTGGTTAACCATTTTCTAAGTGGATAATATGGTTCTTTATCCATATTCGACCCGTTTTTAAATGGTTCATTATCCAACCAATTTTTTGATGGATAATATGGGTGGATTAGTGTTTTCTTTTAACTATTTTGCCACCTCTACCTTTCGCGAAACAGTAGGCTGTTTCTTTTTGAATTTATCATAAAGACACGGCGTCAGGCATATATAGCTTGATATTTAAGCATTGTCAATTGATAACATACAATCTAGGGACCACTAATGTCTGACAATTACTTTATATTTTCTCCGTTGGACTCAGTTGGATTGCAGCAACAGCCTTTCCGATATAAATAGTTTTCTTGTTATTTACATATTAGGACTTATTTTCCGCAAAAAAGCATCTCATGAATTTAGATCCATTGGCATTGAGTTATTGACAACCATTGGCATTGAGTTATTGACAACCATTGGCATTGAGTTATTGACAACTTAACTAACATGATCTTAACCTCTGGCATTTCAAGGGGAGAGCTTGATCAAGCTATTGCAAGGGAGGAGGGTACAGAAATTAATAATACTGCCTCAGACGATAATGTTGATGCTGGAAACCTAGCAACTGACTATAGCAGTGACCAAGATGTTCCTCCTGTCAATCAGGCCGATCAGCAATTGCATAACAAATTACATTCTGAATTGACTGATTTGGAAGATGATGATGCTTCACTTGAAGCCCCTGGTACTACTGTATCGAGAAGGCGGCTGAGGATGGTCATTGATATGGAGGAAGATGATTAAATCATAGTCCGCCCATCTCAATAGCTTGTGGTCGACTAAGTGTAAATTTTTGTTAAAGTATCTATGATGGTTGCTTGTGTAGATGAATGTCGAGCGCAGTCAGTGTTTTTACTTATTCTAAAGGTGGAGAAACATCACAAATTTTCTTAGCAGGTGATGAATCAACCTTTAGAAATATAATAGTAGAGTTAAGCTTATTCCTTTTTTGTGCTAATATTTTTCTTCAAATTTTTGTCGCTAAATCAACTCACCAAAATGAAACGTCCAAAGTCTTTATATTCAACATACTAGTCTTAACTGGCTAATATCAATTTAATTTCGTGTTCACTCAACTGTTATAATAAGATTAACTAGCGTCTTTATGTAAAATAAATCTATTAACACCCTGAAGCAAGATTGGCAACAGACCTAGCATTTTAAATTCAATATAGGTACTGATATCACATGGAGTGTGAAGTTCGACCGATCATACCTGTAAATAATTAGTTGCAGCACAATTACGCAGCCATAATTTAACCTAGTCATCACCAAGCAAAAAAAAAGAAGGAAAACTCTGCCCATACCAAATTCGGGTCAGTCTTAATGAATCCCATCTATTAACGGACTATAGTTCAATAATCAGATATGATTATTGTGATGCAACAGTTTGTGGTTTCTCTATGTTAATGACTAAGTATCCATTTAAAAATTTGGGACAAGACTTGATAATTGCTGCTTCAGACAGAATTTAATGCCTATTACACTATACAGCATTCACCAGCAACGGATTTCACAAAAATCTGTCAAAACACTCGAACCATTACAGCTTGCCACACAAATTTAAAGCGCATAGAATATGATAGAAATTCAGAAAAGTACAGTCCCTAAGGTGTACTCCATGTCTGGGCAAAAAAATACACTCAAAACTGGTCATGCAAACTTCTCTGCAAATTTGCTACATACAGTATGTATATTTTACTTGAAATACACAATTTTGCCAGCTCTTGCAAAAACTTATTATTTCTCTTATGAAATGTTTATTATTCGTTGATGGACTTAAAGCTTATGCTATAGAAGCTGACATCAAGCTATTGGCTTATTTGAAACATCAATGGTTTTACATTTACATAATCCTAACAAAACTTCCTATTCCGTACAACCTTTTTTTAACTATCTAGGTGACATTGTGGAGTAACTGCATGTAGCATTAGATGATGGTTGAGTAGTAATAGTAAAGGAACTGAATTGATTGAGCTCCCTTTTCATAGATCTGTATACATGATCTAAGCCTTCTTCTATTAGTTCTAAAACTGTCTGTGGCATTGGAGGCATATTAATGTCAACTGATCCTTCCAACATCTTCACCACTTCCCCCATTGTAGGCCTCGTCGAAACCTCATCCTGAATACACCAAAAAGCTACCATTAAAGCTCTCATTAGCTCTTCTTTTTCAATTGCGCCTTCAAGTCGTCTATCAACAACTTTTTCTGGCGTTCCTTCACTCATTTCCTGAAAAAACAAATAAACAACATATCTGGTCCTTTCAATACTTTTACGTTTTTTAAAAAAAAATTACGATTCAGAAGTAAGGGCGATCGCCCTTTTCCTATAGAGTTTAAGTGTTGTGCACTATCAGGTTAAGTTGACCTACATCACCATGTAATTCTTTTTTAGATTGATATGATACCTTGGAAAATAGAGTAATAACCCACTATAACCGGTTAAATTGCATCATCAAAGTAAAAATTCTTTACACTGTCAGTGTATATAAGTTAAACTCTTCTCTCTTTATCAAAATTGATCAAGTGAGTACCTTGTAAGCCCATCCAGGGTAAAAGAAGTCCTCAGCATCACAAGTCATATCAAGATTTCTCCGACCACCAACGATTTCTAGTAGCAGCATTCCATAGCTGTAAACATCAGCTTTTACAGTTATGGGTCGGTTGCTGACCCACTCGGGGGCTAAATAACCTCTGGTTCCTCGGACCATAGTGACAACATGGGAATGCTCTCTCCCCATCAATTTTGCTAGTCCAAAATCAGAAACTTTAGGACAGAAATTCTCATCCAAAAGTATGTTCTCGGGCTTGATGTCACAGTGTATTATTCTATTCCTGCATTGCTCATGAAAATAGGCTATCCCTTGTGCAGTAGCAATGGCTATGCGAAAACGTGTAGGCCAAATTAGTAATCTATCTCGGTTACTATATGAATGAAATATCCACTTGTCCAATGAGCCATTTTTCATGAACTCATACACTAGTAGCCTGTTAAAAGAAAATGCTCAGTTTATACTTGCATATTTAAGTTGACACAACACAACCATCAAATTACAATGAAATGCCTTACTTACCTTCGTGTTCCCTCAGAACAGTATCCGCGTAGACGAACCAAGTTCATATGATGCATAGAGCCAATGGTGTTGACCTCTGTTATAAATTCCCTTTCCCCATGAGGCAAAACTTTGCCAAGCTTCTTTACTGCAATCAATGTTCCATCTCCTAGGCTTCCCTTGTATACACTGCCAAATCCACCTGTCAACATAACATTGTTACTTACTATGATAAAACCACATATAATTTGTTGGAAAACCAATTGTCTTGGTTTGGATTTCCTGTGGTTTTGAATAATATGTCTTTACCTGTTCCAAGTAACTCGGAAAAATTGTTAGTCCGGTGTTGCAAGTCACGGTAGCTGAAACTAATCGGAGCTCCTGATAAGATCAAAGAGCCCTCAAGAGCTCTCTTCAAGGATCTTTTTCTATGGATATTGATATATAACAGACAACCGAGCAGCGCGATGAGAACTGTCATACTTAGGACTATAGGAAGTATCAAAACTTTATCGCGTGTACTCTGCGATTCGTCTGATGAATTCCCAGTTTGTTTGTCACCACCAAATGAGCCATTAGCCTCAACCTTCACGAATAGAGTTGAGCCAGGATCCTCGAATCCACCAAATTCCAAGTTTCTAAGGACCCAACAATAAGGGTTTTCCTCACTAAGACCATAAACAGAAGCAACACAATCACAATTTGATAAGCAAGCATTCCCACATTTGGACACTGACTCTATATCACTATAATTTGCTATTACAGATGATCCTGAGAAATAGTAAGCAGTTTGTTGAACCGTAGAAATCTTGAACTGGGAAGTCAAATTTTCATGATGAGGTCCACATTTCCCTGTCAATGAAGAATTTACAGAACACGAGATATCGTTTCCCACCTTAGAAGTGCCTGGTAAGCATGTGCAAGAAGCATTCGTTTTACTTCTGTCTAAATTACAAATCCCATTGCCACAAATTCCAGCAATGCCACATGGATTGGACACAGCAGCCCACTCTGCAACCCATTGCCTCGATCCATTCACATCGTTGTCCCATCGATACAAACGTAGATTTCCATTACCCTCAAGAATTAACCTTCGCAAAACAGATGGTCTACTCCAATCATTAGATTGATTCACAGCCGAGAATAGTCCTCCATAATCACCATCATTTTTGTACACATAAACTGCTCCATCCGAAGACGAGCCATAAACCATACCAAAGCTACCAGCTTTATCCAAGACTGCAACAACATCTCCTGTCACATTTGATATATCAGGTCCTGACCAGTAAGAATAATTGCTATACAATTCAGGTGACATATGATAGGACTCGGGCACATTGTAGGTCAATGCGAGGTTTAGTGAGGTGGGATGCTGCAACATTTTTAACGTGTAATAGCCCCCGGGGGCAGGCGATTTTGATGATGTTAGTTCTAGTGACACCGTTAAAGGTTGGCCAGGCAACAAAGTATCTGATGGATGTGAAAAGCTCTGCCACACAATGCTTAGGTTGTCGGCGTAGAGAATGAAGTTGCCATTTTCAGACATGACAGCTGTCTCAACGCCAGTTTCTGAGGTGTTTGATGCCCATACAGTGGTGCCTCTGTCCATCAACATGAGATTTCCAGTGTTGTCGAACTCCAAAATTGCGTCTCTGGTGACTGGAGAGTTTCTATTTAGATGATGAACACAAAATGAAAGGGTTGGCCAAAAAGTTTATATATACCTGCAAAAGCTTTAGTAAAAACTAGAGATGGAGAAATACATTCTGCTTTTTTCCAACTAAGTCTAATATAAGAATAACATCTCTAAAGAATCAGCCATTTAAATTTATGTTTACATGTTAAGCATTTTGAAGAAATTCTAGTTCCATATAACATTCTCTGCTTCTTGCCCCCTTTTAAAAGAGAAAGAAACCCGAACTAGTTCATGTTGGGAAAGAAATAACGAGGCGTTAAACTTCAATACACTAACAATATAAAAAGTTTTACACAAGGTCACCCAAGTGATAACTACACGTAATCGTCCATAAATGTAAAATTAGTAATTTTTACTTTTTTGGATGATTGTTACCAATTATATTGTTTCTTATTAGAATGTGTTTTTAGTTGTTAATTAAATTTTATTGTATCAATTTATTAAATCCGCCATTATGTAACTACGAAAAGTGCATTTTATGTAATGATTGATTAGGTGCGGTTGCGTCCTTACCTTTTTTTTCCTCTCATCTTGCATTTTCTTATTATAAAATAATCTTTTTATCCTTTATCCTACCTTTTAATATAATAATTCTGCTTCGTACCTTATATTTTCTTTGTAATATTGTAAGTTTATTCTTCATATTACTGGTGCTAACATCAAGAAACGACAACAAACAATACAATTTTTCCAAATGTTGTATTCATCAAAACAATACAATACAACATAATATAATATATTGTGAAAGGATATGTAACAACCATCCAAAATGCTATAACAAGTCAAAAGATTAGTATATATAAGTTAAATCCTTAGCTACGAGTTAAATCATGCACGACCTGTAGTAGTAAGTTGACAAGCATTACAAGAGGATTACTTAATGGACAAATCAAGTAGTTATACTTACATGCTAGGTGACCAAGCCAATGTGCGATCCCCTGGAAGTTGCGCAAACCAAATAGACAATTGATATTTATCATGTGATTCTGCTGTTGGTGTGAAGCCAAATGCAAAAGTTTTATTGTCAGAAAACCATGCTTTGTTCTCTTTAGCTAACAATCTTGAACCCAAAACAACCCCACTAGACTCAATGCACCAACAAAGCTCTGCTATAAACAGTAAGAGTATTAAGGCCAAAGCAGAGGAGAGTAAATTTGGAGACATATGGACCATTCGGCATTAAGTTGGTA